GGAGGAAGGAGAACTTTTTTGTTGCCTCTAACGTGGCTCATACCCATTCAAGGGCGATTAGCCGGGAGTTCATTATATGGCTTTATTAGACTTTTCGATGACTAAACTTTCACAACCAACAGAATCAATGTACGCAAAAGAAGAGCTCTTCGTCCTTTTCCGTGCCCTTAGCATATCTTTATCCTCCTCTACAACAATAATAAAAAACTGTTTATTGCTTATTTCAATTATTGATATCCCATATTGATTAGTATCAGCACGATCATTGGCCAATTTCGCTTAGTGGGTATAAAATGCTCACTAGTATAACATTCAGCAACCGCCAGGGGTATAGCCAGAAGTACTTTTTCGGAGGGGGGGCACCTTCTTAATTTCCAGGTCACCCCTTAAATGGCCAAATTTTGCTCTCTGTGCCACGGCGAAAAAATTTCGGGCGAGGAGGGGGGAGGACGAGCCTAGCTTGGCGCACCACTCGTGGCTTTGTTCCCGGCGGCCGCTCATGCGCCGCTAACGTTTACTCAGAAAGAAAAACTTTTGACGAAGCTGCTTTTGCGCCATAAAAACCAAATTAACCTAACCGAACCATTTATTCAAATTATATTTCACTATTACACTTCAGAGAGAGAGAGAGATAAGATGCAAGGAAAAGCAGGGAGGTTAACCAGACGCACATCCGGTTTGCTACCCTTCACTGGGAAAGGATAAAGGGGAGAAAAGAGGTTGCAGAAAGATGAGAAGGTACACACAATCACAAGCACACTCGGGGAGCACACACAGTCTACAGGCGGTCGCTCAGGTTTGTTGACTTAAGGTAAAGTAGCAGTGCTTTAGTTGCTTTCTGCGCAACTGAGGCAGATGCCCAAGGTCCTAGTATCTTCTGCACACAAAATGGTCCGGGGTCAAGTCGATTCAAAACCATCCGGAGCTGGCATCGCTGTGTGTCGTAGCAAGCGCAGCTGCACAGGATGTGTTCGATGGTCTCTTCAGCTCCGCAGTAGTCGCATGTAGGAGTGTCTGCCATACCAATGTGAAAGGAGTACACCTTTGTAAATGCAACACCCAACCAAAGGCGGCATAACAGAGTCGCATCGGAGCGGGAAAGTTGTGATGGTAGCTTTAGCTTGAGCGAAGGATCCAGTTCATAAAATTTACACCTTTGGAAGCTGGTAGACGACCAGAACGTGCGTGTGAGATCTCGAGCCAGCATGTTGTGTACTTGCTATACTCCTAATTAAGCCATCGGTCACAGGGATGTCTCTTCCACCATCGGAAAAGAAATTGAATCACAGTGGTTGTGATTCAAAATTCGTAAATTGCATCATTACTATTATTATTATTGTAAAATTTATATTCAATATTTTTATATTTCTCAAAACCAATAAAGTTCATAACTGCCTATTTTAAAGATAATTTATTGTTCCTAGACATGCAACGAGTCCGACTGTGTGTTTATGACTTGTATATATGTATATATATATATATATATATATATATATATATATATATATATATATATATTATTTCACCATCGCCACCAGATGGCCAATTCAACACAGAGGATATGAGCCACAAGACAAGGTGCACAAGAATGAGCTAGCTTTAACCGCCGTTTGATGAGCCTAATCTGGTAAAGCTCTTTTTTGTTGTTGTTGTGAAGAGGAGGAAACAATCAGTCATTACTTTCTATCCCATCACCGGGATAAGTCACTGAGAAGAAGATTCCTAGTATCACCTCTTCGAAACTTGGGTTTGGAAATATCCAAGTCAGCTGTTCTAGTTCTATGATTTGCCACCTCTAATCTGGGCTACAGTTACAGGGATGTTTACTACGCAATAGAGGAATTTATCAGTCAGACTAAAAGAATATCGAGCTAAATTCTTCATCCATTTAAATATTAATATCCAGTAATTAAAGTTGTATTACCTATGCCTAGCATATACGAGTAGTAATGCGAATAAACACAAAAAAAGTTTACCTAACACTCGGCCAATCCCCTGCATGGAATAACTCATGAAAAGAGGAAAAGAAGAAGGATGTCTGCTGTGGAACTGGGATGGCATCGCCTGCCCGAAGTTCATGGATTTCAAAAAGGTGTACTCACCGCAAGACACTCAGTCGCTCGAATCGTATTTCAACACGCACAAGGACAGCCCATCATTGAGAGTCAGAATAAAGTTGGCCGCACTCACCATTTCCCCAGACACAGCGAAGTCCGAGGCTTTCACCACCATGGACCACGCTTCGCAAGGCGACAAAGGGCGGGACATCCAACCTCAGAAGTCTGCTTGCATAAGAACAAGAACAAGAAGCTCACAGCCATAGAACTGGGATGGCATCGACTGCCCGAAGTTCATGGATTACAAAAAGGTGGACTCTCTGCAAAACAGTCAATCACTCGAATCGTATTTCGACACGCACAAGGACCACCCACTATTCACAGGCAGAAGGAAGCAGGCCGCGCTTACATTTTCCACAGACACAGCGAAGTCCGAGCCTTTCGCCAACGTGGACCACGCTTCGCAAGGCATCAAAAAGCGGGACATCCAACCTCAGAAGTCCGCTCGCTCAAGAACAAGAAGCTTACAGCCATGGAACTGGGATGGCATCGACTGCCCGAAGTTCGTAGATTTCGAAAAGGTGGACTTTCCGCAAAAGAGTCAATCACTCGAATCGTATTTCGACACGTAAAGGAAAGCCAATCATTGAGAGTCAGAAGAAAGTTGGCCGCGCTCACATTTTCCCCGAACACAGCGAAGTCCGAGCCTTTCCCCAACGTGGGCCACGCTTTGCAAGGCGTCAAAGGACGGGACATCGAAACTCAGAAGTCCGCTTGCACTCCTAACGTCTCTGGTTCTGACCCTGCAAAGGCATGACCAAGCAATGCGTCGCCGTCCTTGGTGCACAAACCCAACTACACCCATCACTCACTCAAACAGGGCCATCGAATGAAAGTAAAAAGACCAGACGCCCTCGCTACCATCTTCATCTGCTTGCCGCTCGACTACTGCAGCTCGTTTGTAGTGTAATAATCGACTATCGGGCACGACGATGTCTTCACTGGTGAGCAAATTTTTCAACCTGCGCGTGCGCGCAGGCAACAATGCCAAACAAGTCAGTCAAGCAAGCAAAGTGTCGCAGGCCGAGAATGTGAAACAAGCAGAGAACGCGGAAGAACGCCGTCTGCTTCACATGGAACCTCAAAAGCCGGGCCAGCCGTATAGCGCACAAAACACGAAGAGTGCACTGTGCAGCGACCCAGGAATGACAAAGCAAGCAGGCCTTTCTATTTCAACAAAGACTACCACTCAACACATCACTGCCAAGCAAACCATTCGAGCGAGCAAGGTGCCCCAGGTTGAGAATGTGACAAGACAAATCCTGCCTCACGCAGATCCTCGAAAGCCGGGCCAGCCGCTTCACGCATGAAACACGAAGCCCTGCGAAGCGCAGCGACCAAGCGATGACAATGCAAGCAGGTCTTTCTATTTCAACGAAGATTGCTGCTCAGCCCATTACTGCCAAGCAAGCCATTCGAGAGAGAAGGTGTTCCAGGTTGAGAACGTGAAAAGACGAATCCTGTCTCACGGGGATCCTCGAAAGCCAGACCAGTCGCTTCGCGTAAGAAACACGAAGGCCGGGCAGTGCAGCAACCAAGCAATTATAAAGCAAGCAGGTCTTTCTATTATAACAAAGACTGCCACTCAGCCCATCACTGCCATCTAAGTCATCCAAGTGAGCAAACTAGAGCTGAAAAAGGTGAAAAAAATAGACTGAATAGAACGGTGTAATTGCTTGAGCTCGGACCCCAAGCTCGTTTTTAAAAAGTTTTTGAAAGCACCATTCAATTACTAATAAATAAAAGTACGACCTATATTAAAAATGCAAATTCATCACCACGGCGTGATATGTGTCACCCATTGCGATTTTTCTAGATTTACGCCTCTGAGTAGCATACCAAGATAATACTGTATACACCTTGCTTTTGGTTTCACTTATGCTCACTGGATGGTCTCATGGTTCCACTTCATTCTAATTAGTTTGCCAACGCCATCTTGGAGCAGGTTTGGAACAGCGTGGAGCAGCATTTCCGTTTTAGAGCAGTTTGGAGCAAATGGAGCACCACTTTTCTCACTGCATCATGGGTGAGCCCCCAAAAATGCAGGGCCAAAGCTGTAATGCCAGTATTTTTACTCCCGTGCAATAACCCAGAAATAAGGGGATCCTCCTATCGCTAAAAAGCTCTATACATCATACTTTCTCTCCACCACACTACAAGCGTGTCTTTTATTCAGCCACTCATTGCACAGTCCTGAACATTTTTAATGGTGTACCTCAGTGCTTCATTCTTGTATGCTATGACCACTAGAGTGCGAAGATTACCCACTTTTGTCTGCAATGTGGCAAGCCATTTCTTATGATTTCATGATGCTTCCTTTGATACTGCAACATATTTTTATTGATGTGCAAGTTTTATTCTCATTATCAGGGTTCCATGAGTTCATAGAGGCCAACTGCCTTGTTCTCCAATCTGACTACCGAGTATTACCTTTGCCTTCAGCATATAAGAACGCATTTATTCAGCAAGTGTAAGTGCAAGCTGCTTGAGTACACGAACATAGTGAAACAGTTTGAAACTCATATGAAGCCTGAGCCACTTCAAACAACATGTGTTTAAGCTCATGCCTTTTGGTTATACATGCCCTGCAAAAATACAGAGGTTACAAAGAAGGTTAAATATGGTGAGAGCGCAGAGGTTATATAACAGGACCCCGTGTGACCTCGCGTAGTTACTCGGTGAGCAAATGCAAGGACACACTATGAAGCAGGCTGATATTTATCCCCTAGCTGTACTGTGATCGAGTTGAATTTTGATTCGTGTATAGAGAAAGCTTAGACATGATTGCAAACGCAAATGTTGAGATCCTTGAGCTCGCATACTTTCAGAAAAGCCCCCTGCAGAAACAGTCAGTGCACATCAATTAACATTGAACATTCAAGGTTTTGAGCATGATGATAAATCAGTCTTGGTCAAAGCCTTTATTATACTGCAAATTTAACAAAGCCTAAATGTTACATTTTAAACATTACGAGTTTCACCTGCCTAAGATATACTCCAGCCACAAAAGCAATATATCAAGAAATTCATTTTGTGTAATAATGAAAAATACACAACAAAGCACATGTGTGTTGATTTAGAGAAACATCGCCATAGCATTACCACTCATTTCACCAGAACCTCACGTTCAATAATAGCAAGTGAGCACTTTTATCACTAAATACTGACAACCATGAGAAAATTATATTTGAAGCCTAACCAGCATTTTGCAGGTTGTTATAAGGGAAAAGAATGAAGGGGGCCCATTCTGCCTAGCAAAACAATATAATTATCATAGCCAATACATATACTCACTTTAGTTGCATTGCAAACCTGGCAACAAATGTACAGCAAGGCCCCAAATGTGACATGCATATACATACAAACACTAAAGTTCATAATAACTAGAAAAAAGATCACATTCAGTTAGGCCAACTGTATTTATGAATACACAATAGTGCATGCAATATATTCTTATGCAAGGCATGCTTTTTAATTCGTTCGAACACTCAAAGAGATGACCTAAATTTAAGCAGATAAATTATTTTTCAAAAACTATTATACCCTTCATTTCACCATGGATTGATAATTAGTTACAGAAATGAAGGCATAAATTCCATTTTTTTAACAAAAGAACCTCACTGTTGGAACATCGGTTACACTACAAGAACATCTTTTCATTTGGGTCTGTTGGCTCAACAAAAGTTCTCAAATCTCGTCATTCAAATCTTTGACCCTGTCAGAACATAAAGTAGTCCATCATTACCAATAAGGAATTATACAGGACATTGAGACAGCCATCAAACCCAATTACAATGTATTGGCAAGCTTCTGCAGAGAATACAAGGCAGCACTGACACTATTCTGGTTTGCACCTTTACATCAATGGGCCTCCTTGTTGAAGAAAACTCCACAGCATGAGGTGAAGTGTCAGAATAACCCAGGGCCATTGGATCAATCATAAAAAAATACAGTAAATTTCAAAAAATTATATAATACTAGAAAAATATTGCTAACTAATCTGTTCATCATACAAGTTCAGTAGCATCTTTGCTACTTTCTCTTGTGGAGATTGTATTAAACCCACATAAGAAGACATAGTTCAGATAGAAGGGCAATGATAACTAATACAGGTGAAATCATTTTCTCTTAAGTGCCACTTTAAACCATACATCACTCTTCATAATATAGTACATGCTGCACTACCCAGAACATCAGCTTTTGCGCTTCAAATCCAACTCAGGTTTCAAAAACCTGGAATAGTCTGCAATAAGGGCGAATGGAACAAATTTCTGTTGGCTAAAAAGTGAGTATCTTTGAGGGCCGAAATGGACACACACAGCCTGTACTTTGTCTTTCCTTTGTGTGTTATCATTTTTGCACTGGTATTTTAAGTATCCCCCTCCCCCCCTTTTTGTTCATCTTCCTAACCTTAATTCTACAAAGAGACATTGACAATGTCCATAAAATTTGCGATGCAATTCTTTTGCTGTGCCTGTATTCCACAAGAATAGCACCTTGTTAACTTAAAATGTGGGCCTGTATCGTGGACAAGGGCAACTAAAGACACTTTCTATATCTTGGTCATCCTTGTCCACGCTACACGCTTGCACTTCAAGCAATCATGAATCACCATCTCGCCCAATCAGAGATTTTGACTTTCTTGACACTGTGCTGCCATAAAGGCTGTTTGTCTTGACTCCCCCCCCCCCCCCCCCAATCACTGATAAAACTAAACAAGTGGCATTGAGGTGATGGATACAGAAATGATAAACTCCACATAAGCTTAGTATACAACTGTTTGAAGACACTATAAAAAAGGTGCTCCATGTGAAGGAGCACTGGCTCAAGTACTGCACACGAGCACTAACGGCTTTTGCCACATACGACTATCTTAACTTACATGGGGACCAACAGAGAGTGATGGGCGAGACAATAAGCAAATGACAGTGACAAGAAAGGCTGAAAATCTTGTGGGTACATTACAGTGGATATATTACATAAACACCGACTGGCCACACAGTCTCTTGATGCCCAGCATGGAGGAAAATAAATATAAATAGAAGGGAGCACAGAAATATGAATTAAGCCTTTGCATGATGGCCTGCTTTGACTCCATTCGCTCCCTGGCCTGAGAAAATGTGCGCATCGAACATGTAATATCCTGGAAACAGAATACAGTGTGCGTTTACTTTGAAGGCTCCCGAAATAGATACTTCTCCACGTGCCACTCAGTTTCCTAATGCTACATTTAATGCCTTCTGTTCTCAGTCTCAATATATGCATGCCGTTTCATCACTCGAACGTGCAAAATTAGCTGTGCACTTACAACAGCGAAGACGCCATATGAATGAAGCAACGGACAAAAGATCAATCATTTCAACATGCAAAATTAGGTTGCGCTTACAACTGCCAAGAGGCCATATGAATGGAGCACTAGCAAAAAAGATGACGAGCCAAGCAGAGTTGTGCAAAGCGATATTAGAATGCACTACTTGCTATACCATGTGCCTTGATGTTCTTCCCATAATCTCTTCATTTGAAGCAAAGAAATTTCTATGACTTCTTCACTGTTTGCATCACCTGCCACTAATGCAAAGGCCCCAGACAGATATGCTCTAAGGGCATGTCTGTTTGCTCAAACAAGTTGTGGGGCTCGTTTGACAATAAAGGGCCTCTAAACCACCCAGTGGTTGACATTTATTTGTGGTTTTCCAGTTGTGCATGATTCTTCATCAAACATGTACCTATGAGAATTTTTGGAAACAGTGATGTAACAGTGGTGTTACACACATTTGAGAATCTGAAAGCGGCCCTCACTTGCTTTGCTATTTCTTTCACTATGCCTTGTTCATCGACTGGTCTTTCGTCTCAGTCATGCAAGGAGGAAGAGCGCACATACCTGCAAGCAGATAAAGCGGTTCCTTTTGTGGATGACATGACCAGACAAAAGCGTTGACTCCTTGGCCAGCACTATGCCCATGGCTCATAATTCTGTTGTTTCTGGCACTGTTCATTGTGATAGCATTCTGAACTTAATGCCCAACACTTTAAATGCTATGAAAATGGTGGCAGTTTACAATACTGTTCAATTTAATGGCATTCGGAACTGAATGCCCGACAAGTTAAATGTTAAAAAAATGGGGTTAGTTTACAATAAGTCGTACAAACCTTGGCACAGCGAAGCACTGGCCGATCGATTATCACTCGTACTCCCCATCGATCGACCCATCTAGCTTTCGAGATGTGTGGCTTTCTCCTTGGGAGTCTGCCCTTTTTTAGAACGCCCTATGACTTTCAGAACACGATCAGGTGGAGCCGGGCTATGCACTGTAAGGAGGATATACGCAATTTCTCTTTCAGTGGGTGTGGTTTGGCTATTAGGCATTCATGGCTTGGATAGGTGGTGTGGAATCTTCTTGCTAGACAATTTGATGCTTGCTTTTTCTCTTTCTCTGTACACATTCTCAGGGTCATTACAGGCCCTGCAATAGCCGTGTGTAGTGAGATTTTACCAAGTTTTGTTGCACATAACTGTTGATAATGATAGTTTTAGGGTGCAGCCACAAGTTTAGTACAGGCCACACTATTGTGGCGAGTATGGTATTCCCACAAATTATGTGGCATAAATCTGTACATAATATTTTGGGAGAAAGAAGGAACTTCGTAACTGCGACACATGCCCATTCGTTTCTGGACACTGTCCCACATAGTATACCGAGCTACAACAATTTCACTATAAAAAAATTACCAGAGGTGGTTTAGAGACCCTGAAGTGTCACACACACAAGCACAGGTACATTATATGCAAAGTCTATGCCACGGTCACACACAGCATAAAGAAGTGTGCACTGGGACCGTGGCACACCTCTTCCCTTTCATGTTACACGACCACTTGTTAGAAGTAAAATTCCCAGCATCCTTTTGGTCACCCTCCTCTTTTTCGTTTGACTGAGGTTCAATGTTGTCACACGACATTTACACTAATCAGTTACTTAAACTATGGCCAATTCTGTATGTTTTATGTCGATCTTTATTTCCATGAACCATTTGCAGCTGTCACACAGTGCAGAATGTCAAGCTGTCTTGAAGTTCACGGAATTAGCTGGAGGTGCACCAAACCTCAACTATTCTTTCCAGTAGACGGATCACTTAAGTTCTGCCAATACTACACTAGCTACAACAAAATAAACCCTTGAAAATTTTGTTGCATGTTTCTATTGTAAGCAAGTGAGGTTCTGATCATTGCTTTGCATGGCAGGCCAGTCGCGGCCTTTTGAAGAAACATGGCATTACAATGCGTAAAATAAAATGCAACCTAAACCAACCAGCTGCCTCTCTTACTATAGAAACCTTCTCAGCATCACATGAGCATGTGACAAATAACGAAATTGAGCCGATTGTAGTCTGCTTTTTGAGTCTGACCGAAAACAAGGTCCTATGTTGTCATTATAGGCTAAATATGCTAAAAGTGACACTGTTTTCATTGTTTCATTTTTGCCCATGTTTTGCTTTCTGTAATTGCATACTGCCTTTTACCAGAAACATCAAAGAGCACCAATACAGAAGCAGTCCATTTGGCATCTTTAGAACAATGAAAAATACTGTCGACAAGCCTTGGCCATTTTTTCGTCATAATCTTAGCACCTTATGAAGCAAGCCAATGGGGAGGATTGATGTTGTGTAGTTAAGCTTGCTTAGTGGCTCTACGCTTGCCATATCATCAACTGGTCACATGTGTATGTATTGCCAAACAAAATCACATTTCTCTCATACAATCACAAAAGCAGCCTGTGTATATCCAACTTTTGAGCAAAAGGAGACTAGATAATGTACATCACCAACCCTTTCTGTGCCTTGCTACAATCTCCAATTCTTACCATGAACAACAAAATTATGATTAAATGCACCTGCTACCCATGTTTTGGTTCCTGCAATTGCATACTCCCATTTACCAGAAGTATGGCAGAGCATGAATACAAAAGCAGTTCATTTGACCTTTTTAGAAAAACGAAAAATACTGATGTCGAGCCTTGACCACTTTTTACTCATATTCTTGGTTGAATCAAGCTTGCCCATGGCAACAAATGTGTTCATTTGTTATGGTTAACAATGGAATACACAAATCTAAGTGAGGCAGACTACTCCAATTTCTAAACACATCCCAACGACAAGAAAAAAATATGGTGTCCAGCATGTGTCCTTGGACTATGGGCACAGAGTTTTCAACATACAGAAAAAAAAGAAACCTTCACCATTAGGAATCAACCTATTTGACCAATTTGATTATTACAGTTTAGAATACTTTCCACTAACTTATTTACCACCAGTTACCATCACTTTTGTTTTAAAGTTTATTTTAGGTGCATTGCAAAGCCAATTTAAATGGAGAGTACAGGTGACCTCCTAGCACCTAGAACTGCAAATATGCTGGAAATTAGCTCTTAAAGCTACTGCATCTTTTTGATGTTCCCACAAATGATGCCATAAAGCAGTTTTATGCTACTGACATTCGACCCAATGTTAGAGTAACACAAAAATTTTTCAACTACTGAAACGAGAAACCAGGGCTTGAAACACCTGTTTATTGTGCCGTTTCGCACCTAAACCAGGAAGTACCAAAATGCCACTTTTAAACATGGTGCTCATTCAGGCTGTCAAGCCCCCAAAAAGAATGTCTACACCTAGCAAGCCTGCCCAAGAAACAAACAAGTCTAAAATTTGAACAAGAACCTGACACAATCTGTTCTAAGTGCCATTTAAGTAATGAGCAATGTTGGCAGTCCCTGCAACCAAACCAGGTTTAAATATACATTCACATAAATATACTGGGCATGACGAGAACCAGAATAACATTTTTGTCTCCTCATAATCATGACACTTTTTTTTTAAAGCACGAGGTATACTGCGCACAATCTCAAATAAAATTAGCTATGTCATAGCCTGCTTCCAATAATGTAGATATTGTAGAGCACACCTACACAATTTTATAACAAAATTGATGCATATTTACTTACATTCCACTTATGTAGCCACATCCCCCCAAAAAAGTTTTCCAGAATACAAATGCATTAACTCGGACTCCTTAGAAAAAAGAGGTAATTCATTAATCTGTGTCCTTGTATACAACTACATTAGCACACATGCTGACTACTAAAAAACAAAGTGAAATGAGCGGGCACTGCAGAGAAGCTGACCACTTCACGCAAAAATGTGTATTGTTCAAATGCAGCAACACAGCCTTCAAACACTCACAAAAAAATGGCCAAATAAATTTTCATTCCATTCTGACATACCTAATAGTGCAAAGTTAACTTGGCTCACACTATGCTACTTCAGTTAGGACAATCCCCAGACAACATCAAAACATGTTACGATTTACAAATGCCCTTTAAAAAAACATATTTTTGTGTAAACAATTACGGGATATAAAAAAATTATTAAAGCTCTTTTGGTGAGGTATATTTAGGGCAGGTGACGGGGCCAATAGTACACTTTTTCGAACTGGTGCTGAACTGCCCTCCCATTTATTACACTGATTCACAGACTGCCTATGGATAAGCACAGTATCTTGAACAGTACATCAATGACCAAACAGAAAGGTGCAGCAAAACCACAAGCCATGCTACAAAAAGTACGGTGTTGTGTTTCGTGGTGGTACCACACGCTCACAATCTGGCACTGCATGATACAGTTTTGTAAACCGACCGTACCGTGAATCAAAGGTCATAATAGCAGCAACGTTACCACATCGGTAACAGTAGTTTGGAGCTGACCAGATTGTCACCAGCTTCCCGTCAAACATGTACTTAATGCCTGCAACCAAAAAGTAAGTGCTGATGAACTAGACACAGATGAAATAAAAAAGTTCAACAAGAACTTCACAGGGTGCTCACCTTCATGTACTAGCTGATGTGCCCTGCATATCAGCTTCAAGTTGTTCAGGTGCATGAACTGAAATAACATACATTGGAGGAGACAAATTTAAAATTGTGCTGCCAATAAGGAGCGCATGTACACCTTAATCAAAAGAAATGTGACAATGCTGTAGTAGATTCCATACAGTGGGTTACATCAATTGGCCTTCTTTAGTGGTAGAAAGCTTGAAAGCATGACAAGGGTCAGGATAACTCAAGGACTATTGCATTAAGCCTCACAATTTACAATAATCCAACAGAATCTGTCTAGCACTAGATGAATAGTTATCCCAAAAGAACACTCTCTAGCATACTCCCAGATAGAAAACCAAAAACATTAAAAGGACACTAAAGGGCAAAAAGATTTTTCACGTATCAGTGAAGTGCAATTTCGCAAACACGAAAACACCTCTCTTACCACGATACCACATATTGTAAGCGAGAAAATGCGAATGGTGACGCAACCTTGGGATTACTATACCAAACACTGTGACATAGCAGATTTTAAAGGCATCTGCGGGGTGTTATGTAGCTTTCAATCGGATAAAATGAAATACATAGTCATCTAATGGTGCCTTAGACCCAGCATACAAAGTTTCGTGAAACTTCCATCTAGCCAATGTCACGAAAACACCAAAAATATATTCTGAAATTTCTGACATCCTACACCAAGTTTTTGGTGTGAAATTTACAAACGAAAGTTCAACCTTGATTTTCTCCACTAACAATGAACCTATAATAGTAGAACAAATGGCATTAGAGTTTTCGGAGTGCATTTAGTCACTCTAAACCAAGTCACTGTTCCCGTTAGTGTCCTTTTAAAGTTGTAATGCAGCTCATCAGTGCCTACACAAGTGCCTACTTGTTAGTCAGTTGGCTACCTACAGTGCAGCCACATGTAAGCCAAGCAGTCAGACAATCTGACTGTTTCAAGGACCATCATGTGATACGTTACTGTGGCTAAGCTTCTGTTTAGTCAGTTGCGTGGGTGTTCATCTTTTCATTTTTTCATGCTGTTTTTAGTTTCTAGTAAGATGACCCAACCCACTGCAATGCAGTGAGATGTATATACTGCAGTGCAGGTAGCACAGGAGAAATGCTCTGGGACTGCCTCACAAACATACATACTCTCGTCACTTTAATTAGCTTTCACTCACCTAGCCTTTGATCATATTTTAAATATCATGTGCACACCATCAGCAACTTTTTTCTTTTTGTTGGCTTTGTCCATATGGACAGGTCGGTCAATTGTTAGAGGGAACAGGTCGGTCAACTGTTAGAGGGAACACGCGAGCGCATGGCTCTGTGGGGGCTGCCTACTGCACTATCAATTGACAGTCGAAGAAAACGTGTTAGCTTTCGGCATCATCTATTGCCAAACAAGATAACGAGTCATAGCCGGTAGGCAAACGCTGCTAGATTTCGCTCCCTCTCCGCTCGCACAAAGGGCGATGTCTGCTGTGCACCGTCTTCTGCCAACAAATCGAACGTGGTGCGCGAGCGGTGAGGGAATGTAATTTAGCAGCGCTTTTCAACCTGCCATGAATTGTCTCCACTGACAAAAGATGATGCCGAAAGCGAACGTGTTTGCCTTAGCTGTCGGCAGATGGTGCTGTAGGCAGCCGCCGCAGAGCGCAAGTCATGCACTCGCATGTTCCCTGTAACAGCGGACCGACCTATACCTACCGTGACTGCATGCATTTAAACTTTTATCGCTAACATGTTTCTAGAGGTTACTGCTTGATTCACGACCATGTATCCAAAATTCAGCAACACTGCAAGAATTTACTATCAATTGTTGTAGTGGATGGCAGATCGGTTTCCTTTTTTTTTTAAATAAAGAAACTGGAAGGCCAAAACCAAAAGGGTAGTTTTCAGAGAAAAGAAAATGCAGCCAAAAGTTTGCCTCGGTCACCTATTTTGAAGCATGCACTGCAAAAATCACCAGCTGAACACGTATATGGCATGGTGAAAAATAACCGATCCCCCAGATTACACTATTAGTCAGGACATGCTATAGTCAATGTAAAAAGATAGCCATCAGTTGCACACCATGTGCAGTTTCTTAAACAGGACTCCTCGAAATTACAGCGCAATAAGAAGCACAACAAGGTTAACTGCTATGTACATACAAGAACACAGTAAGGTTAACTGCTATGTACATACAGGAACTCTTACCTCATGGGTCACCTTGGCACCAAAAAGCCAGCCAGCTCCTCGAGGACTTACTGACCAAGTCTCTACATCTTCAGGGTCAGACCACACAAGATGTATGCGCAGATAAGAACTGTAACGGCTTTTGCTCTCTCCCAAAAACACTTCATACGTGACCTGAGGTTTACCACACACCTTCTATAACACTGACAGGTAAAGACATAGCACAAATCTAATGGCTTTTGCTCTCCCCCAAAAACACTTCATATATGACCTGAAGTTTACCACGCATCTTCTATAACACTGACAGGTAAAGGCATAGCACAAATCTAACACAAATGAACAGCATGGTTTTTTGAGCACATGTATACCTATATTTCTTGAAAAATGGTCACGTGAGTATGATAAGTATTTGAAAGCTTAGGTAGTTATCACACTGGCTATATAAACATACAGTGGCTGCTCCACATGAATGTATACCTCCTTTGAACATCAAACCACCTTCTGAGTCACAGGAAACAAAATTATTTTAGTTTGAATTCAGTAACATTACAGTGCCATTAAACATGTCAATTATGCATGCGATATTCAATAGGCACCTGAAAGTCATAATATCTGGCTTTAATGCACAAACATTCAGCCATAAAATAGCACGACAGTGCCATCACACCAGTTTCACAACTATCCATGTAAATAATCTGGATTCTTTATATTTAGTTCTTAAATGTCATTACAAAAATTTACCGATATCACTTCGTGTTATATGAGTGCAACATGTTTACGAAACATATTTCTCTACAGATTAGAGCTGCACTACCTCGGCCTAAAGTGAATGGTAGGGAGCAACCTCTTGCCTTTATCCTTAAAGGGGCCCTGAAACACTTTTTCAAGTAACCATGGAATGAATTCGGTGGAAGAGTTCAGTGGAAGTGTAATTGCGAAGCTATGTCACATGCTGCAATTGCATTCTCTCTTTCCTCATCCCGATGAAAGCGCTGGAAGTTAACCAGGGAGGAATGTCAGGCGCAAAAAAAATTACGTCAGGCGCACCTCGTGACCTTGAGCACTTTTTTTTTTCTTCGAATGCGCGACTTGATCACTTTTATCGCGCGCACATGCGTGGACAAGTCGTGGCCTCCCGCAGCGATCTCTGTAACGACCGAACGCGCACTGTTCAAATCAGCCAATAGCTCATAGATGGGCTAACCTCCCTGTCCTTCCTCTTTCAATCTTCCTTCTAAGAGTGGTTTTTGAGCATCTTGAGTCATTTGTCCACAGAAGAGAAAGCAATTTTTAGCTGGTTTTGATAATTTATTGTGAATTCCAGGCCGCGTGCTACGCTATAATATTTGGCTCGCGTGTTGCTGGGAGCCTCTACTACCAATGGGCAGCGTGTTTTGACCATACTCAAAAAGTGTTGCAGTGTTCCACATGCTATGATGTTTTCGACCATCAGCTATCTCTATTTTTCACCATGCAGCATCTCTGACACCTACTTAAAGTGCACTCGCTTGCCCTTTTCATTCACCACGAGCACAAGCCTGTCACCTATTCAATAAGCTGTTCAGAATAACTTGACATGTCAAGTGAAATGTGCAGCTAGTTAAGAGCTTAGACTGTTCAAGAGACATGCACACCATCAGCAGTGTTGAAAATGTTACAGCTGATGCACTCAGTCACGTAGATGCCACAGTATGCATTCACTTCAGAAATGCTACTAATATCATTTCCATTCAAACAACTGGCAACTGCTCAATCAGGCACACCAAGCAAACGATAGTGACCTCTGACACCTATGTGAAGTGCTAACATCCCCTCAACTTAAATCAGTCACACCTCAGGATGTCTCAAGTGCCTTAAACACTTCCAAAGGCACACCCATGAACCATTTATTTGCACGTGAAAATATAGGGTGATAAAAAGTTTAATTGTTTTGTTAAAATTCACCTTTGGGAGGTACGTGAAGACCACCTTTATAGATAATTTATATATCCAGTGATATGCAAAGTGAGACAATAATTATCGTAGTTATTCACCCAAAATTAAAACACCCCTGACAGCGGATGCTTTGTTTGCAACTTTTTTACCGTGATTTGTAGCTTTGCATCTGGTAATGCAAAAATTAAATCGTAAATACTCTAATGCCTCGTATATTTATTGCTAGCATCACTAATTTAGAACCATTTTCCCATCAATTTGAAACGCCCACTTGAATACTCTTAAAAAACTAGTGCTCCACCCCAGGACAGCACGTGAAACTACAAGCGCTCAAGCTTCGGTGACGCTGAACGTGCCATTTTTAAATAGGAGGACCTTCGGGCATAGACGAACGAAACGATGTGGCTGCTTAGAGCATCTCCCCTTCAGAAAAAAGAAAGGCATTCCTGGTGTATACAGCCAAAACCACCTTGGGAGCAGCCCGACAACAGAGCCCTCGCTGGGTGACAGTCAGAGTATTAAGTGTGCCCCGCTAATGTTCTTCGATGCCGACACTGCTTGCTTGACGTCTGTAAAGTCCCGAGGGGGCCCCTTGTCTACGTCAAACCTCGAAAAAATGGTGCCTGCACCTGAATACTCAAATGAGCACGTACCGTTTCTTTAAAACCAAAGTAATATATCTTATAGGCAATGCTTGTCACTAATAATCAGTCAGGAGTGCCCCGCATGCAAGACTCTGAAACAATACAAGCATCTCAAGTTTCCAAAATTTGTCAGGGGTCCTTCAAGGGGTACTGAAGAGAAACTTTTCCCATATCGTTTTTTTTGCATTAAATGATAAGTCAAGCCATCGAGAGCATAGGAAATGTACCGGCAAGCGTGTGTGCACCCTGAAAAATTAATTGCAGCATGCTTTTAAAAGCTGGTTTCGGTTCCTACTGTACCTTGACGTCATGACATCGTACGAGCAGTGCCATTAGACGGCACGCGCAAGTTTTCGTGATGTATTCTCATCCGCGCATCGCTTCTTAGGTCGTCTGCTGCGTGCTGCACGTGTGGCAACTGTAGCTGGCAGGGAGGCACAACGTTGGGATGGCATGACTTCTTAAGGCGCAGGTTCTTCGTTGTCACAAACCAGCGCTCAAGAAAGCGCGCCGCAGAATTCTGGACTCGGCGACAATATCAGGCACCAGATTGTCGCGCCGTCAACGTAAAAGAATAAAACAAGCATCAGAGGACGCCTCGGGCACGCCGTCTCGCCCCCTCGAAGGCACATCACTACGCTGACCAACATCCTCGCACTGATCCCTGAACGAACCCCAGAGTTTCGAGAATAAAAGCGTGAGTCACTTCCTGGGTGCGTGACGCGTCACGGATTGTTCTCGAAAAGGCTCCCCCTTTCCCCAGCCTTGGCTGTGCAGCGCACCAATGAAACGATTAGAAACATTTAGAACCCAGGGTGAGACATATTTAAGCTAGGAGTGGTTGGTGGTGAGCAGGAGATGAAGAGTTTGCGCCGGTGTGCATAAGGCAGGAGGTGAAGGAAGTTTTTTCGCCATCAGGCGAAGGCTTGTGTCGTCAGCGACAAAGCAGCAGATCTGCGCCAGTCTGCGTAGGGCAGAAGATGAGAATTGTTCTGCTGTCAAGGGAAGGCTTATGTCTTCAGTGACAAAGCAGTTGAGTTGAAGTGGTTATGCACCTGTGGTTGAAGGCTTGTATTACAAGCAGCAGAAGAGTGTATGTTTACTGCCAGTGGGTAAATACTTGTTCTGCAGTCGCCGCGCGCAAAGGCCGACGTGTTAATGGCGAAGAAATTCGGTGATTGGAGTGCGGACATTTGTCGACGCAAGGTTACCTGGAAGAGAAACTTTGGGGACAGCGTAACGACAGCAGCGCTGAACTTTCAGTGAATGATTCCTGGAAGAAAATCATTCAAGCTTTATTCCAAGAACTTTGGACTGAATTTAACTTTTTAGGTCTTTAAGTGTCTTGGTTTGTTAATGCATGATATTCCACAGTAGTGCGTGTTGTTGTGTCTGTTGCTTTTGAGTGTATCTGGTTAATTTTGTAGCCCGTTGTTTGATTGGTGAGATATTGTATTGAACTATCGCCGAGTGTGCATATTTGTGTATTATTTGATCGGCAGTATTTGAGAATATATATATTTTTTTATCAACTCTCGGCTTTGACTCGTTCTTAGGACCACAGGCAGCGTTCGCTGGCGCGCCAAATGGGTCCAAATCTAAATTATTCGTGCTTTTGTGGTGCAGTTAGGGCGGCTGATACGTCGACCCTTAGAATTCGCCGGCGATTGCCTTCCTAATGAACGAGACCAGTGACATTCATCGACAATCCGAAGTCAGCAACTGCATGTTGTGCGTGTACACGTCCGAAGTGAAGTGAAGCGAACAGAGTAAACTCCGCTTGGTTGGCGTCCAGTCTATACCTCGACCACAACGCACGCTTGTCTCAACACCACATCGGACCAGAATCGGTATAACTTGCAAATATTAGGGGCTTTTGGCCGTATCCTTCCTTACAAAAAACGTGTTACCGGATACAACTTTGCGTTTACCGTTACCGGAACGCATGTTTGCAACAGGTTAGCTACCCAGGCGTAAAGGTTTATGAACGTATGTAAATGTTTACCTTCATATTTTTGCAAACCATAATTGGAGTGCTGACTGCATTTAAACTATATTTAACTAAGAGAGAATTCAATCGTGGCTGCAGCAAGATCATAAGATGTTTTTTCTATCAAGTACGGCATACTTGTATGTGCAAAAAGGAGAATAAAAAAATACCAGGTAACTAGAAGGTTGGTGTCGACATCTTGCGACACTTCGTGCAACCATAGTCATGAACATGTTGGCTTATGTTTTTTATTAAAAAAGTAACTCATTATTATTAACTCCGCTGTGTGGTTTTTCCACTAGACATTCAATGCAACATGCTTACGCGAAAACAATTTAGTGATAGCATGGTTCATTTCAATCTCGTTAGATGGTGCCCCCTATCCAATTTGTCCGGGGCTCGCCCATTTGCGGTTTTGATGTTCTAGACCAGCATGGCCATTTCTAGCTTTGGTATTATTGGTAATGTGGCTGAAACAAAGTCAATTGCTGCTGGCGCTCACACTACGGCTTATTTTAACTCGACGGATGGAGTTTCCGCAATG